TCCTGGTTGAAAACCAGGCACCTGGCAACTTTGGCCAGGGGGTTGCAGCAGGGAGCTGTGGCTGGGAAAGGAGCTGTGGCTGAGGCTGGAGCAGAACTGGGGGCACAGCAGGGCAGGGTGGCAGTCCCTCCCCGCTCTAAGGGGCTGACCCATGCTCACGTGCCCCCCGGATGTTCCTCTGTGCTCCTGGGGAGGCATGCCTCAGAGTTTGGGGACAACTGCCCTAATCATGGCAAAGTCCCTCCTTAGTGCTCCAAAAAGATTGTAACATGTAGAGGTGCCTGCAATGCTACCAGATAGAGATCAGACGTTGTTCAGGGCAATTACTGGTGTTAGAATCCAGGCCATATATATCTAGCATCAGCGAGTTGCAGGAAGGAGATCAGGACACTGACTCCGTTAACATGCTGCTCTCTCTCTCTCAGTTTCAACAGCAAAGCTGATAGAAATCAAAGAAGTTACAGAAAAAGAACATCCAACTACAGGCAGTCAAGAGAACAATACTAGAAGAGTGGCCAGAAGACAAAAGCCAACTACCAGTAGGAGCAGAACCACATTTTCAAATTAAAGATGAGTTGTGTGTGCAGGACGGAATCATATTTTCAAGACATGGAGCTGTCTTACATCATTATGAAAGGATGTCATCCAAAAAAAAATACATGCCTCACACATTGACAACTGTGTTTACTACCTGGGAATAAATACACAACTCCACTCCTTGATAGAAGGGTATGGAACCTGCCAGTTGTGATTGTTACCACATGAGCTGCCCACCAGACCAGTGGGAAAAGACTTATTAACTTAAAAGGAAAAGCAGTATTGTCTTACAGTGGAATATGATTCAAAATTGGGAGGCCATTATCCTGCCTGATATAAGCAGCAAGTCAGTGATTGTCAAATTGAAGGCCCACTTTGCAAGATATGGTATTCTGGACACTGTAGTCACCAACAACAGCCCTCAATTTGCCTTGAAAGAATTTAAGGAATATGCACACAAATGGGAGTTTGATCACCACATCTCCTCCCCAGAATACCCACAGAGTAATGGTCATGTGCAATCAGTTGTGAAAACAGCGTTACACAAGGCTGTTTCATCTGGTTCAGACCTCTTGTTAGCATTTTTGGCACACAGGAATACCTTATGTCGGGTGCCAAAACAGTCCCGCACAGGCACTGATAGCAGGAAGGACCAAAACCATGTTACCAATAAGGGGAGATCTGCTGTAGGTAGAGGGATGGGGACACTACCAAGAGGAGATGACCAGCAGTTAGAAAAAGCACACACTAGAGTACGACAGGTCAGCCAACGACCTACCAGCCTTGGAGAGAGGCACTTCTGTGAGGATCCAACCTTTAGAGAGACATCAGATGGAGTGAACTAAAGGAATTGTGAGGGGTTCAGTGGCACCCAGGTCATATGAGGTGACTACACAAGCAAGACAAGCGATCTGAAGGAATAGGAAGCACTTATGAGCCAGGAGATACAACACCCAGAGGGAGCCTACAGAGATAATCACAGAACAGAGAAACAAAGCCATCTTGAGACCAACCCCACAGGGAAGGAGACTCCACAGAGAAATTGTTGCTAGACTCTGAGGCACCAGCCATGGATTTTTAATTGCAGTCTAGACATACTCTGAGATACCACACTCCTGGTGTGGTCACCTGTTGAGGACACTAAACTATCTTAAAAAGAACAGGAGTACTTGTGGCACCTATAGAGACTAACAAATTTATTAGAGCATAAGCTTTCCTGGGCTACTGCCCACTTCTTCGGATATGCATCCGAAGAAGTGGGCAATAGCCCACGAAAGCTTATGCTCTAATAAATTTTAGTCTCTAAGGTGCCACAAGTACTCCTGTTCTTTTTGCGGATACAGACTAACACGGCTGCTACTCTGTAAATTATCTTAAGGTCTCTGCTATGTGCTAGCAACCTTTTGCCAAAGGACACATGGTAGGGATCTGGGCATCAATTACTTGTTTTTAATGTTTATATTAAAATGTTTGTAAAATAGGGAAGATGTAGTACGATCAGTGGCACTGGAGTTAGAGGGCCCCTGGAGGGACTATGGCTGATGGGACACCAGAGAAACAGAGAAGTCCAGAAAATTAAGCTGGAAGCAACTCTGCTACATTGACAGAACAGGTTAAAGGGATTAATAAAGTTTCATTTTTCCAACTTAACCTGCTTCTGCATCGCTCTTTACACAGGAAACAACCTGCATCTGCTGCCTATGCATAGGGAGGAGAATCACTGCTACTGAGATGCTACTTCCTTTCCTGTACAGATACATAGGCAGGAGTGAGGGAAAGAGGAGAACCTTGAATCTACCCTCTCCTGCACTGACACAGCACAGCTAACCTCACTGAGTGGAAGTAAACTGCAGCTGGAAAAGGGCTAGAGCAGCTTACTTCCCTCCTTTGAGCATGGTGCTCCACAACTATACGTTGCCCCTTACTCAAATTGGATTGCAAGGTGCCAGTCCAGTCCTAAGAGAGCATCTATCCATGGGGGAATCTGACCCTACTAGCTGGACAAATAGTACAGATCCCAGAGAATAAGAGCACAACTGTCTCTTCTAAAATAAGAGAGCGAGATTTATCACAGGTGCAACTTCCAATGTCCTTGAGTTTAAGCCTGCATTATATGAGTGAGTGTTGAATCATGGTATCATAGTATGGTACATAGGAGAGGAGTGTTTTACAGTCAATGAGGAATATGTGTGAAACAGGAGCTTTGATCCCCCCCCCACTACCTAGTCTGTTTTTATTTCCCTTGAAAAGATACATTATGTTCCAAAGCCATATAAAAGTTGCAAAATCATTACAACCACAATTTTTCAAGCTTACATAATTCATAAGAATTCACTGCCAATAGAATTGCTGTGTATTTCCTATTTTCTTACCAAAAAGTTCTACCCTTTTCCCAGATTTGTTCTAAGCTTCATTTGGCATGCGGCAAAAGAATCTGAGCTAGCCAACTCTGATTCCCTCTCTAGAAGAAAGAGCAAGTTTGCTGGAAGAAAGTGTTTGTTTACGCAAACCTTTGGCCAACTTCAGTATTGCTACTGGCCTCCCCCACAAATCGCTAAATATACACAGGAAGACACAACTTGAGATGGTACTGCTGTCCAGCAATTTTGTTACAAAATCCTGGCTTTTGTGATTTGTTTTTTAAATACTACATTAAGTATTTTTAATATGCATAGTGTTAAAATGTATTTGTGGTTCTCTTGGAAAGTGCCAGATTATCATACCTGAAGACTGCAGTCTCCTGTTTATGTACACATTTGTACTGAAAGGCCGTGGCCCTTAGTTTGTCTCAACCCTGAACAAGGGAGGAATTGCCTTTCAGGGTGAGATGGTATTGCATTGACAATGTACATTCAATCTATGGCCTCTTGGAATGTTAGGACACTACAGAACTGTAAGCTAGTGCTATGTACAAGGGTGCTGGTCTATGTGATAGATACTTATCTATTGGGAACCAGGCGTAGGCCTCAAAACTCGACTTATTCAGCTAGTAATAACTTTTTATGTCTGCCACTTTTGATTGGATTAGTATTACATTTAATAAGAAAATGAAATGTCTGACTGGGGTGTATAGGGCCACTGAAATTTCCAACTCCATTCAAAACATCCCTTTGGTCATACATGTACAACTTTGAGTTCTAACCTGGATGATCTGAAGTGGGTGGTGGTTCTTCAATGGTATGACTTTCTCTTTCAGATTTAGTCCCTAATTCTGCAAGCACTTATACAAACCCTTAAATATATAGACAGCAGTAGTGAATTCAACATGCATACTTGTGCAGGCACGATGAGAGTACTCATGCATAAACATGGTCAAGGTCTTGGTTTGCAATCCCTTATTTTTCAGGTTTAAATGAATTCCCCGAAGTCCACCTGAAATTAGTTTTGCTTGGCTTCCGTACCCAACCCACCATTGTGTATACAAAGTTCAGAAACCTTCTGAAAGGTTAGCTGGGTGCTAATGGAGGCCCCTATTCCTGTCTAGACTTAGGGTAGGTCTACACTTAAATGCTGTAGCTGCATTGGTGCTGCTGTAGCACTTCAGGGAAGAGGCTATTCCACCAGTGGCAGAGCTGCTGTGGTTCGTGTAATTAATCCACTTCTGCAAGAGCAGTAGCTATGTTGACTGGACAAGCCTCACTGTTAACTTAGCATTATCTACGTCAGGCACAAGGTCAGTATAACTGTGTTGTTCAGGGGTGTGGATTTTTCACACCTGAGCAATGTAGTTATATTAGTGTAAATTTATAGTGTAGAGCAGATGTGGCCTGATGCAGCAGTGCGGTGTATGCACGAGGAGTACTCCCACAGTCACAGGGCCTAATGTGTTCTTTGCCTGGTGGCCTATGAAACAATTTGGCCATAATGTGTTAACTGCAGCAAAGGCTCTCCACCCCTGCAGTTTACATGTTGTTAGTGGGTTGGACCACACTAGCGTGACCAGACAGCAAGTGTGAAAAATCAGGATGGAGGGGAGGGGGTAATAGGCACCTATATAAAACAAAACTCCAAATTTTGGAACTGTCCCTATAAAATTGGGACATCTGGTCACCCTAGACCATGCTGTTTATGGCCAAGGGCTGCCCGGCTACAAACTCAAAGTTACAACTGCCAGCAGCGCTGGCTCGAGACAAAGCCCGCCTGGCTCCAGACTTTTCCAAAAGGCCCGGGGTTGGGGGACTGGGCACAGCCCGGGACCAGTCGAGGAGTCTTGAACCTTCCCACGACCTCTGGGGGCCTGGGCTTCGCAGCTACTCTATCCCCCGAAACAGCGGGGCCGGGGACTCGCTGCCCCAAGCGGAGGAGGGGGGTGGCGCTGGAGCCGTGACTCCCCAGGCGCGGGGAGGGCGGTGCGAGCGCGGCCGGCCGCTGGGTGTCCGCAGGGAGGCGGCCTCTCTCCTGCCTGCTCCGCGGGGCTGCAGGGGAGGTGCTTGGCTCCCGGCGGGCGGGGGCGGCTCAGGTTGAAGGCTGCGTGGGTGGGTGGGGATCCCACTGAAGCAGAGCGCGGCGGGGGCTGGCGCTGCCTGTGCACCCCAGTCCCTGGCAGAGGCGGGCAGCGAGCGGCAGGTGGGGACTGGAGCGGCTGGCTGGCTGGCCGCCCCCCCCCGGGCGAGAGGCTCTTTCCCGCCTGCGGCCGCTCGCGGCGATGCGGTGAGTCCCTAGCAGCCGCTCTGGGGAGAATTGTTCCGCCTGGGTCTGGGCTTGGCAGGGGCCCGCGTCGCTCCTCGCAGCTCTGGGGGTGGCTCGTTCGGTGCTGCCTCCCCCCGGCCGTGGGGCTCCCAGCAGGTGGGGCGCGTTGGCGGCGGGGTTGGGGTTACACCAGCCGAGTTCGGCTGTAAAGTTCGGCTCCCTGGCGGGGGGAAGCAGCTGTAGCGCTAGCTGCTGGGGCGGGGGCGGGAGACTCTCGGGTCTTTCCCCCACCACTCTGAAAACTCTCTCCAACTTCCAACGCCGTGCTGTCGCGGCGGGGCGGGGGTGTAAGTGGCATTACCAGAAACCCCCTTTTGTAAGTACTATTGGGGCTGTGTGTGAAATGACAAAGTTGTGCTTACTGCTGTTTCTTCGTAGTGCGGGGACTGAGCCTTTGCAGGATTTGTTGCTTCCTTCTTGCACTAGTGGTGACCCTAAGGAATTTGCTATGGATGGGGAAAGTGAAGTGGATTTTTCTAATAACAACATAACGCCACGGTGGTGGAGGAGATCAACCCCTCAGCTACACACCAAGAGCAAACCTAGACCCCAATCTTACCAGAGCCCCAATGGGGTCCTCTTTACAGATTTCCCTGTGGAAGACAGGGCTACATTCACTGTGACTCAGCCTGCTGAAACAATAGTTACTTCTCCAGTCAACAGATTAGTCCAAAGGAGCCCCTCTTTTAAATCCAACATGGGATCTGTGCCAAATGGAAAAATAGGGTCTCCAGAGTATAAAGCTGTATCCCCCCAACTTTCTTCTGACCAGGCATCTCAGGTCCTGAAATTGGTTTCAGATAACTTGATAAGTTTTGGTGGTACAGTAACATCAGCAGATGACACACTGCTTCATCCAGTGTTGATTTCCAGTCAATCAGCACTTATCCCAGAACATGAACAGACTGCTTTTATGCCAACTCCTGGGTCCTTACCTGGAAATATGCCTTCACTGAATAACAACAGAATGGCTGTTTTGCAGTTACAATCCAACCAGCTTTCTAAAAACCCAGAAAAGGCACTTGTGGGACCCTCATTGGTTTCCCAGACGGCTCCCTCACAGCAAAACTTAACTCTCCACAGACTGACATCTAATCAGAACCAGCTCCCAGAAAAACAGTCAATAGTTCTGAGTACAAATAGTCCTGCTGCGCTCAAAGTGGGGAAACAACAGATCATTCCTAGGAGTTTAGCTTCTGAGATAAAAGTGACAAACAAAACCAGCAACCAAAATGTGGAGACAAACAAAAGGGTCCACAAGGTCCGTAGCATGTTGGAGATGCTTAATATGCCTTTGGTAGCTGATGGTGATGAAGAGACAGAAGGTGACCTGGATAGCCCAGGGGCATTGAGAAGAGGATTGAGGTCTACTTCTTATCGAAGAGCAGTAGTGAGTGGCATTGACTCTGACAGTTCTACAAATTTTAAGAAAAAAAATAGAATGTCCCAGCCAATACTCAAAACTGTTGTGGAGGACAAGGAGAAATTTTCTAGTTTAGGAAGAATAAAGGTGAGTAAACGGGTAGATGAAACTTATGCTTTCTTTTGAATGGTGCTGGCCACTTTAAAGGTAGTGATTAGCAGTCTAAGTATTTTCCATTAATGTGTTTGTTTCTGAGTTCATTATTTACTATTACAAACGTCTCTGTGGTCTTTGACAGGTATCAATGGTCACTTAACATTTCCTTAATTTTACTGTAATGAAAACAGTACTTTTAAAGAACACCATTAATTTGAAATCTAGCCATTTTAAAACATGAGCTAAAGGTAATTTCATATTCTATATTTATCACTGAATCCCCCTACTGATTTAGTTTGGTTTTTTTTGCATTCATATTTACTTGTATTTAAAAATGTTTATCAAACCCCTGTATATGTTTGAATAGGGGCGACAATGAAACTAACTTCACAAAGTGCTGCCTAATGCAGAAAGTAAATACAGTGGCAAAAAAGTAGTCCAACTAACCCCCGGCCCCCCATCTCTTTCAATTATAGTTCGCTCATCTGTTACTTGTAAGAGTATGTTTTTAAAAAAAATTCAGGTAGAAGTGAACTTTTTAAATTGACAGAGTCCTTTTAAAGTATCTTGAAACAACCTCAGGTGTATCCTAAAAGCAGAATGTCTTATTTCAGTCCTCCAGATTTAATCCTTTTTGAGTAATAGTTTTATTACATTTTCTCCGGCTAAATTTATTATATTATAATTATGCCACAAAGCCTTGCTAAAAAAATTGTAAAACCCTTTTATAGCTTGAAAAAGTGTTATATCGTTGTCTTTTTTGTTGTATTTTATTTGCATTCTACCCTTCAAACATTGAGTGCTTTTAATAAATTGGTAGATTAAAAAGCTCTGCAGGGTGACTTGAAATTGTGCGGTAAAGCACTCCAGGCAAGGCATAATAGCTGTAACTAGTAGAATAATTATTAAGTGCATGACAGTTCTCAGGCAAACTAAAAATTTAGGGGCTTGGGGTTGGGAGCTTTCACAGAAATTACACAAACAAGCAGCTTCAGTAGATCAGACTGTAGGCCATATCATTCCATTAGATTTTTTTCCTGCAGACCTCCCCCAATGAAAGCACTGAGGAGTTCTGCTTAAAATAGGATGACATTATCTTGCCCTGTCTTTATACAGAGATGACTTTTTGTTGTTGTTGCTAGTGTTTTATTTCATTTTGGGGTAATTTTTTTTTTTGGACCAGTTAAACTAGTAGTATTGAAGCACATAAAGATCTAAAATGTAGTTCACCAATAAGTTTGTTTTATTTCAGAGGGCTTGTTATGGTCCCAGAAATAGCTTTCATGGTGCTTTATGTCAATTTTTTGTAGCGTGAAGAGAAGGAAAGCTAGTCACTCTAACAAGAACAATGTATACTTGATAGGATATCTGAACCAATGAAATGCGAGTTTATTGAACTCTTGTAATGCTACAGAATGAAATAATTTTTAAGGTCTTTTTATTCAGTTTGTAGGAAAAATGCAATGTGATGAATGAGTAAGCCATTAGAAGAAAGTCCATAGCAACTTTAATGACACATCTGTAGTGAAACAATAGTTGTGTGAATAATTTGCTAATTGTCAAAAGTTTATAAACTAGGCCTTGAGTTTATAAACTCAATGCCTTAGATAATATTAAATAAAATAGCATAACATTTGTTAAAGTCAGTGGCTTTGTGTTCTTATTTTCATGTTTCTTTTCTTTAAAAAAACATCCTAGAAGAAAGCACTGAAAGTACAAGGGACATTTGATGGGGAAGGTAAGCACTGGATTTTGTTGAAACTGGTTTTTATTATTTGAATGCATGTTCTGATAAAAATCTAAGCTTTCAAATGACCAAATAAATCTCAAGAGAAGCTGACTTCAAGAGAACAATATGTCAAAATACTGTAGATTTTATCAAAGAAAAGCATGTTAATTCAAGATTTTAGATTTCAGTTAACTATCAACTGGAAATACTTTTAATAATAATACAACTTCCATTAAATTCTGTTTGTAGAATTGCTTAAAGAATAGAGAAAGGCAGGTAAACAAATACCTTACACTTGAATATAAAAAGGAACTATTTATATGTATTTGTGTATATTGTTTAAGCTTCAGCTCTTATAAAAACACTGTGGGATTTGCATAAAATAAAGCCAATTCCTGCAAGCTGATTTCAGTGGTCAGATCTCTTACATAGACTCCAACAGGGTGGATAAAAATCAATGATTTTTATTTAAAAAAAGTTTAAAAAATGGATTTTTTTATTTAAATCAGATTTTTTTGATAAAATGCTTTTTGAGGAAAAAACTATCTAAAGATACATTATAGCTCGAAGATATCTCATCATGGAATAGGGATTATAAATTCTAATTCTATAGTATGAGACAATATATTCATGTAATGTTTAAGAAAAGTTTTGTAAATGAGTTCCAATAGTTCATCAATTAGGGACCCAATCTTATGGGGTTCCACAGGCTTCTGTATAGATTATTTAGGTTAATCTTTCTATCTACCCAGTCAGACTCAGTGCTCCGTCTAGAAGATCCCATCAGAGATGCTTAGTTTTGCAGTTCTCAAAGGGTGGATTTCTGTCTCCAGATTTGCTTGTTAACAGCAAAAATGTTTTTAAATAAATGAATAATATATAGAGGTGAGAAATAACAAACCTCAACTCTGTTGTCCCTCTGCAAATTTGTGTACACAGAGTCAATTCCTTATCTCTCTCTAAAAGTGCAAAGTTTCAAAAAGTTCAATGAATAGAAGATTGTTGGTGGCAGAATAGATCTGGATAAGGAGAAGAAGTTTGGAGATAAATGTGAGAAGCGAGGGACATATGCTTGTTTTGTTAAAATATTATATGTTTACTGTTGAAGAAAAAATCCAGAATACTTAACGTTGTTGTTCTAGTTATATAAAACAATTTAAACATCTGTCTGGTGATGTTCTCCTCCTAATGCACCATGGCAAGAAAATCCTCCAAATATAAATGATTAACCTGTTGAATTGGAGAGAATTCACCTCCCAGTGATGTCATAAATATCTGCTTCATTTACCTTTTGGAATAACCAAACAATCATTCATTTTCTGATATAGCTGTAAAACTAATATAAAAAGTTTTTAAAATAAATCACTGTTTAAAAATATATAGTGTGTACCTTCTAAAAATGAAACCTACATCTATCTCTGAGTTGTGAAGAATATGTATTAAGGTTATAACAACCAACAAGAATGCACTTTTATGTAGAAAACCATGATTAAATCGAGTCTTCCTGATTTAAATCAATTTAATTGCAGGTGTCAGGATTAACCTATGTGGATCAGGTTGCAGAATCGGGGGCAAGGTGCCATTTTCTGGGGTTTAGGAATAAGCCAGCATTCACCAATGCTTAGGAAAATTATCCCTGCAGTCTAATATAATCCTTTCTTTCTCGCTTTGACCCGTAAGCTTGTAGTCTTGGTCATTTTTGTTTCCACTCTTCTCTGCTCCTTTGACCCTGATTTTTGATGAATTGGCTGTGTTCTCTCCTCTCTATTTTACAACCAAACATTAGTCCATACTCTTGTAATCTCTCCTGACTATGGTAATTGGCACTCTCTCTGCTTGTTCATCTTTGATCTCTCCCCAAGTCCATTCAAAACCTAGTTGCCATGATCATCTTCCTTTCCCACTGCTTTGTCTCCTATTCTTTTCTTACCCCTGGTTACACTTGGGAGGGAGGATCGATCTAAGTTATGGAACTTCAGCTACGTGAATAACGTAGCTAAAGTCGACATACTTAGATCTACTTACCGCAGTGTCTTCACTGAGGTAGGTCGACTGCTGACGCTCCCCTGTCAACTCCACCTGTGCTTCTCGCTCCAGTGGAGTACTGGAGTCGACGAGAGAGCGCTCGGCCGTCGATTTATCGTGTCTTCACTAGACGCGATAAATCAACCCCCGCTGGATCGATCGCTCCGGAGGTAAGTGTAGACATGCCCTTAGTTTCTCAGGTCTCATGCACTGTTTAAGCAACTCTTTGCTTTTGAAGCAGTCCACAAATATGCCCTGCCTTCATTTTCTATGATACCTCCTTACTCTCTCCTGATTCTATGTCAAGGGTTTTCTTCTGACTGCTCCCTTTGTCTCTGTTGATCACTCCTTACTCCCTATAATGGCATTCAAGGTTCAGTTATTGTAAGCCAAGCTTCTATCCTCGAAAAGTTTATAAAAATCTCACATATTCTTTGGAGCATGCTGGCTATAATGATTTTGGCCCACGCTATATCCTTACTATAATTCTTTGGATTGTAAACTCTTTGGGCAAGGTCTTGTTTGTTTTTTTTGGCAGAGTTCCCCTGTTACACAGCACCATATACAGTTATACTATGTGTTTATGATTATATGATGTATGTACACACCTTATAAACTCTAACCCTTATGTACAACCCTTCAGCAGAAGCGCTAATGGACACAGCAGCTAAAGCAAATCTGACCAAACAGTTTGACAAAAGAATTTAGCGGATTCTTAAAGACTCACTCAATCTCTTTCACTTTCCTCCCTACAAATAATAGGTTGTCCAAAACACCTGCCCCATTTTTAAAGTATTGTCAGCCTTTCTCCTATAAAACATTTCTTTTCTTTGTAGCTTAGTTCCTGTATTTTGAGTTCCCTTTTTCCCCATGTGCTTGTGCTTACTATATATATATATATGGCAAAAGAGTGTGAGCACTAGAAGAAGGTGGTCTCCATGTTTGTCCTCCTTCCCATGTGGTTTTGTTGCATTAATACTGGTAGCATTGAAGCACATAGAAGAGGAATCGGAATGCACATGGAAGTGTGCAGGCCCCACATTTAGCAGGTCTCGGAAGATGATGTTTGGGTGTGCCCCACAGGCTCTGTCTTGGTCAGTCCTGATTTTAAAGTTCTGAAGTCAAAATTTGGGATGATTTTTCCTCCTTCCACAGTGAAATATGGAGATAATTTTTTAAGGCTAACAGTTAAAAATTGCCATTGGTAATAGGTTCAATACCTTTTAAAATGTGCATGAGATAATCAGACACCTGGATTATTGACCTTACTGTTCTGATATGTTTTTTTTTGTTTTTTGTTTTTTAAATCTTTAGCTAGTTATGACACATTGCACAACAAATTGGGGGGGAAATAAAGCTGTTTTCCTCAACAAAGGACACATCTGTTCTTTAATGTAGTCAGAAGGCATCTTTTTAATAGTGGCACAGTGATCCATTGTTACTGTGACACTGTCCATCTTAAATAAGACACTATCTTTGTCTTTGTTCATGCAATTTGTGAGCACATCTACAATTTGCTTTATTTCATTGTTTAAATGCTACTTATAACTCTTTTGAAAACAAATGGCATAACTTTCTGGCAATTAATGCCCCTTTCTTATGTATTTTAGAAACTGCAGTTTTGTATCAGAACTACAAAGAAAAAGCTCTGGACATAGATTCTGATGAAGATTCTGAGTCCAAAGAACAAAAATCAGAGGAAAGGATAGTTATTCAATATAAGCCTCTGAGATCAACATGGAGTCAGCTATCAGTGGTGAGTATTCAATGGTTACATAGCCAAAAATATATTATGCAAGAATGTATATAAGCAAGGATTTTATCTGCCAGTGGCATTTTCTGCTTGAAGTTTGACTTTCAGCCCCTTCTCAAATGTAAAGTGTTTGTGGACATTTTATTAATACTTGGAGTTGTAATTGCCCCAAGTGTTACAGATATGGGGCCAAATCCTGAAGTCCTAACTCTGCTTTACTCAGATCTTACTTGCGCAAATCCCTCTACTCTTCAAGCTGATTTAGTAAGGCCTATTGGAAATGTCTGTCTGCTGAAAAAGACAAAAGCCAGTATCTGTGAAGTGTTAAGATAAATTAAGTATCTATACAACAAAAACATAAGGAAAAATTAAATAAAGTGGATGACATGAAAAGAATCATTCGGTACCAGTGGAAATGATTGCTCTGGATTAACCTTGACTGGACATTGTTTGGTATTTATTGTCAATCAAAACAAACAGAGAGGCAAGGTGGGTGGGGTAATATCTTTTATTGGACCAGCTTCTGTTGGTGAAAAAGAATAGCGCAGTGTAGGCTCGAAAGCTTGTTTTTTTCCATCAACAGAAGTTGGTTGGATAAAAGAGATTACCTCACCTCTCCGATATTCTTGGACCAACCTGGCTACACCAACACTACAGTCAAAATCAAGGATTTTTAAAAATGTATGTGTGTAAAACAAAGGATAGTGTATTGAAATTCAGCTTTACATTCTTACACATGACTTGCAAACTTACATAATTTTAAAAAATGCAAATTAAAGGATGTGCTGAATGCTCACAATCCAGATAACAATTGCACATTTGCCATCTTAAGGGCCTGATCTTGCAATCACTTCCTATAGGACACAATGATTATTCCTCAGGCCTTGTCTATACCAGGATTTTAGCACTGGTGTAGCCACACCATGGTAGCCCACTAGAATAGCTAGAATTTACATTGGTGCAGTTTACCCTAGTTTGAAGCATCATGTTCAAAATACCCAGACTTGCTGGAAAAACTGGTTCCGATTCTAGTGGGGTGGACATGGAGTGGGGTGGACATGGCCCTATCTTTAGATTAAACTGAATTCTGTGTGTTTGCACTTTTATTCTGTGCATGGGAGGGCTATGGACAATCTTTAGATCAGGACCATACACTGTGACTGAACTCTTTTTTTTTCTTTTTTTTCCTTTTCCTTTCTTTCACACAACCCTTGCATTTTACAAGAAGACCATGGAGGACTGGAGATTTACTCCCCTTGACACTCACTGTCCTAGAAAGTGGGTTGAGAAGCTCACTTTAACCTGAGAACTCTTGTCCTTTGCATGGACAGATAGCTCCTGACTTTCAAATTTGGAAAGGCCATGTGTTTAATAGTTCACAAATGCACACAGTTCCAGATACAACTGGACAGTTAGGAATTTAACCAGATGTCCTCACATGCAAATACTTGCATATACAATCTAGGTGCATACCATTGTGGTAACTGCACATGCAAATTGGGTGCTCAGTTACACATGGTTTTTTGCACGTGACCCTAGGCTTTTCTGGTGACCGCAATAAAGCTCTTTAGTTCCTGTGAGACTTTTCATAAGTCTAGAGGTTTGCCTGGATGCCTTTAGTCAACATTAGGGTTATCATACATCCGTATTTTTCCGGACATGTCCAGCTTTTTGGTTCTTAAATCGCCATCCGGGAGGAATTTTTAAATATCTAAAAACGTCTGGGATTTTGCCATTATTATTTTTCCCCCAAAGAAGAGTTGATCATTCAAGAAAGAGAGTGAATGTTGATAACTCGAGAGAATGCCCACTTTTTCCCCCTAGCTCCCAGCGCTTGTGCTGCAAAACAGCTGTTTCGCGTGGCTGGGGGGGCAGAGGGGGAACGTGGTGCACTCAGGGGAGGAGGTGGGGCCAGGGCCAGGATTTGGGAAGGGTCCAATGGGGCAGGGAGAGGGCAGAGTTGGGGCGGGGACTTTAGGGAAGGGGTTGGAATGGGGGCGGGGAAGGGGAGGAGGTGGGGCAGGGCCGGGGGCACGCGAGCACCCACTGAGGCCGGGGAAAGTTGGCGCCTAGCCCTATGGTTCCAGACTGGTATGATCATTTTTCCATAGTGGCGATAGTGCAATATCGACAATTTCAGTGTCTTTTCTGAGTTCGTACCATGCAGGGTAGTCTTTCCTCAAGAGCTCCTTATTTGATATTTTATTTTACTACCCCCAAACACAATGCCAAAACGAAAGTGTAAATTCACTGGAGAACTAAAGACAAAATTACCGTGTTTTCGAAGTGTTAGAGAAGAATGGGAAGCTGAGTGCTTGGTTTGTAGACCTGGTATTTACGTTCTCTGTGAAAAATAAAGGCACTAATGATTTACAAACTCACGTGGCCTCAGACAAGCACAAAAAAGCAGTTCGAGAAGAGAGCTCATCAACAAAATTGACAGATTATTTTGTAAAATCAGGCAGCAAATCAGAGGATGCTGTTACTGCTAGAACCAAGACAGAAGCAATTGTTATCTCTGTGCCCGCACCGCATTCTGTTGATAATGATCTGAAAACGTTTGAAGAAAATGACATAGTTTACTGTGGAGTTGTTACAGATGGAAGCAATCACGGTTACGTGAAAATATTTCCAGTAATTATTCAGTATTTCGACTGGAAGAATGGCAGATTGAGGTCCAGAACATACCTAATGAGACTGCCGACACGATTGCTCATTACATAAAAGGAACACTTGAAAAAAAATGGTTTGTTTGAGAAGTGTATTGCATTTACAGGTGACAACTGCAATACAATGTTTGGAGGACTCCGGTGTGATGAAGATGGAAAGAATGTGTTTGCAAACTTAAAGAAGCTGTTGCAGAAGAGAACATTAATTGGTGTGGGTTGCCCAGCACACATTTTGAACAACTGTGTTCACCATGCAGCAGAAAAAATGAACGTTGACATTGAGAACATTATTTTTAAAATTTACCAGTACTTTCATATGTACACTGCCTAAACTGAGCGGCTGAAGGAGTACTGTGAGTTTGTTGATCTTGAATACAGAACGTGTCTTGCTATGAGAAAGCAGCTATGGCTGTCAATATTTCCAGGCATTACAAGGCTGATACAGATGTTTTTGGCATTGAAGTCATTCTTTCTGTCACAGGACAAACCACCCACAATGCTTAAGAATTAAGTGAGATTTACCTCTGGCACATGCATTCACTCATGAGTGTATTTCAAACTTGCATCCAAGAAATCGAAAGGGAAAGCAATTCTGTCATGGAAGTGCTGAAAAGTTTGAACTCGGTTCACACTATTCTTCTTGAACGCAAGACTCACAACTTTATGTCCCTGAAAGTTAAGGGACTAGTGGCACAAAAGTGCATGGAAGGAATTGAAGAAGTGTGTGACAAATTCTGTGCTGAAGTAGGTAATATGTACAGTAGATGCTTAGAATATTTGGAGAAGTGGCTTAGACCCCTGGAAGACGTCTCTTGTTTCAGGTGGATTACCCTGAGTGAGACCCCGAATTGGAGTGATGTGGAACCTTGTATCAAGTACCTGATCGATAAGGGGGTGCAAATTGATGATGTGAAGTGTTTTGATCAGGTCAGCAACCTGAAGAAGTTTACGGAAAGTTGCAACAGTGATGAAGAGTTCAGTAATTATTTGCTAGCACACCAGAAGTGGACCAAATATTTTGAGAAATCCAAAAACATTGAGTGTCATTCAGAACTGTTAAAGATTGCACAGTTCTTCTTTGCTATTCCTTCTCACAATGCAAATGTAGAGTGAATTTTTTCACTGATGCAAAGCCACTGGACAAAGGAAAGGAACAACTTGAATGTTGAGTCGCTGAAAGGAATTCTACTTGTACAGTACAACTTCTTGTAAAGACTTTCATGCCTTCTTAAAGAGCAATCAATCACTGCTGAGAAAAATGCGATCTACGGAGAAGTAAGTGTGGGCACATGAGGAGAAAGAAAACTGAAGAACTGGTGAAAGGAAAGGACTCACTGCATATAAAGACATACAGTAAACTTTAAATAATTAAATTTCACTTTTGAGGCCATATCACTTTTTCTTATATATATACTCAATATAGACAACATGTAACGCACACCATATATAACAGTATAATAACACATTAATACAACACAAGTTGGTAGATACTGGTGCAAATACCCCCTCCCAGTGGAGTGTCCTCTTTTTTTTTTTGAATGTTCAAATATGGTAACCCTAGTCAACATTACCCTTCCCCCACATGTGCATCACACTTTACAACCCCCTCCCTTCCCCAAGGGGCTGCATTTCAGTGTGTTGTATGTAATGTGGTGACTTTTTGCTAAATATTATTTATTTTGCTGCATTTCTTTGCTGGTGCATTAAAAACAGTGACCAAAGAGTTCATGATTAATAATGAAATATGAAAGGAACAAATGTAGATGGTAAACCTGGGAATTCTAACCACTAGCCACAGGGATAGTTTCACATTCTTATGTTTTGTGAGATTACCAGACCAGTCTTTCTAATGCACATAATAGTTTTGCACCTCTTATGCAGAGATTCTTTACTTTTTTTTAAACATATTGATGATTAATTCTCCTCGATTTTTGGAGGCATGGAAGAGGGAGAGCAAAAAATTATTATTTGCTGTTTGTATTGTTGATAGTACTTAAGAGCTCTAGTTATGTACCAGGAGCCCATTGTGCTAGGTGCTGTATAAACACAGCACAAAAAGGTGGTCTCTGCCCCAAAGAGCTTGCAATCTAAGTACGTTTATAGGAATTTCTGTGAATTTTCCACATGCTTTTGTATGGGTCGGAAGAAACTCCATGGAGGAGTATTGAAGAGTTTCCTTTTTATGATCCTATCAAAAGGATGAGGCTGAGTTTGCAGTGTCAGCAACGTATGCTGTGTCTGTCAAAGCAATGAGAGCATTCTAAATTTTCTTATACTGGTAAAAAAGGAAAGGCTCATGCTATTGGAGGAGCCTTCTATTTGTTTTTTTGTAGG